CTTTTCTCCCCAACTCAAGGCAAAAAATCGGCCAAGAGACAGCTCGTATCTCGAAAAACTCGTTAGTCGGGACACTCGTAAGTCAAGGCCCCACTGTAATATAAAAAAAAATTCCTGTGAATTGAGATAAAAATATCAAAGTTAAGAATAATACTTTATAATTGAAGCATTATTTTTCCAGGAAGCTTTTCAAATTGGAATATACTGGGCAAATACAAACACTGTGCACAAGTCAGGAGCAGTTAAACTGGTTCATAACCTGACATCTCCAAAGTGGAAAGATGGAGGGAATGGCGAAGTTGTGTCACTGGATGAAGAAGGGTTTGTTGATGCTGAAATAAGACTCGGTGCTTTCCCAGGACATCAGAAGGTAGGACTAAAGTTGTGTGGGTCAGGGCAAGTAGCATGCCGTCCCCTCAGCCTGCTTAAAATGAGCCCACCCTTTCCTTTGTAATCCCTCTTTGGTACTACTTGTTCTAGACAATTTATAACAGTGAAACACGTGATTTCTTAGACCTCTCCGTTTTATAGGTTTTTCCTTATGCCAGTGGTAAAAGCTGCATCACATAATTTACCTGGTAACTACTCCAGCTCAGGACACTCAGCAGTCACTTGATGTATTCACAGATCCCCACAGATTGTAGTTGGCCTCCTTCTGGTAGAGGAGGACGTAGAGTTGCTAACATTCTGAGCAACACCTAAAAGGACAAAGGCTCCTGCCACACAGGTTCGGTCCTGAGCGCAGTGACGGCCTCCATTCAGGTTTCCCATAGAACCAGTGCTCTAAGAGGGAGCTGTATTCTTGTACGGGAGACTGGTACCCATGTCTTTAAAGATCTGAATACAAAAAACATACTTAAGCAGTTATTAATTAAATACAAATGTTCCAAAGTCCATGAAAACCAATGAAGCTGAATAGTACAGTGACGAGTCATATTAAACTGCATGTATGAAAGTGCGCTATCCTGTTGTACCATGTCGAGGTCTCCTGCTGTACTTAATCATATCTTCGTTGTTTCAGCGGTCCCAAATCAGAAAAAGAAAGGAATACTTCATGGGGGGAGTATAATTCAGTGGCCTTTCTGTGGGAAAAGTTAGGTTTGACAGGCATCTTTGAAAAGTTTCTTAAGAAATGTTAGGGTCACTTGGTGACTTTTTAAAAATAAATTTCTCTGATACAAAGAAGTTGGTCTTTCTTCAATATTCAAGGCTGGTATCCATTTCCTCAAAGTTGTCTGGGCAACACATGTTTATGCTCTGCCGGCCAAAATACTGGAACATGGGTGTAAATGGCAAAGAGCTGTAAGCGTGAATCACCCAAAGTTGAATAGTTGTAAGTTGAGAACTACCATCAAAACCTGGAAAAAATGTTATGATATACAGTCAAACACCCAATATGTCCAGCACCTCACAGCGTAGCCACAGCAAAGGCTGAATAAATGTTTGTGAATGAATGAATGAACTGCTGGAAAATTTATTTTATATATTTATATCTCATTATTCTTTAGCAGCGATTCTCAAACGTTTTATTCTCAGGACCCTTTAAAATTACTGAGGACCTCCCAAAATCTTTCGCTCATGTGGGTTATACCTATTGATATTTATCAAATTAGAAATCAAAACAAAAAAATTAAAGCACGAGGATACACATACAATCCATTAGTCATGAAAGTGATGACATCATACATCCTATAACCTCCAGAAAACTCCGTTTGTGCACTCAGGAGAGAACTAGAGTGGAAAGGACAGATAGCATCTTAGTATTATTTTAAAGACAGTTTTGACCTTTGGACCCCTCCAAGGATCTCAAAGACACCCCCTCAGACCATGGGGCCCAGACCACATGTTTAGAACTGCTGTCCTGATAGTGCCACTTGCTAGGTGGGTACCTTTAGGCAATAATGTCTTCTCTGAGCACCAGTTCCTATAACATGCTAAGGTCGTGAGATGATACATGTAGTGATTAAGAGCAGCACCATGGAACCAGACTGCTTGGTGTCCAACCCTCTTTATATTTGCGACCTTAGGCGAGTTACATAACCTCTTTGTGCCTCATTTTCCTCGTCTGTAAAATGGGGATAAGAGTAGTGACTCCATGTGGCTGTTGTGAGGGCTCTGTGAGTTAACATGCATGAAATACAGGGAGCCACAGAAGGCACTACATGAGGGCCAATCATTATGATTTCATTAGCAGCAGCATTAAAGTTCCCAGAACTCCCCTTGGCGAGGTAGGCACTCAGCGAGACAGCTGTTCTCATGCACACAAGGAAGAGAGGAGGAATGTTTCGTTGAATTTTTTATGTTGAAAAGGATGAGTGGCGTTTGTTTATGCAAAGGTGCTTTATAAATAAATATTTTGTGAGGGAGTAACTTGAAAGCAAGTCTCTATCGGTCGCTACACGGTGGCAGTAAAACTAACTGGTTTGCTGAAGCACCCCGTTTGTAGAGTAACTAGGGGCCTGGGCACTTTTGAAACTGAGAGGGGACTCTGTTAAATACTCTGGAGTGGAAGGTAACTTGGTACTGACCTGGGAAACCCAATGTAAAATGACCTTTAAAAAATAGCCAGGAGATTTCTATTTGCCTTATAAGGTTCTCAAGTGCACTCTTCCCCCAATTTCTTGCAGTTGTGTCAGTTCTGCATTTCCTCCATGGTACAGCAGGGCATACAGATTATTCAGATTGAAGACAAGACTACAGTAATCAATAATACCCCATATCAAATATTTTATAAACCACAGTTACTTGTCTCCAAGCCCCATTCTGAAATAGAGGTAAGTGATTCTCAATGTGATTGGCTTGTCTTAAGTTTCAATAAGTTACAATAAAGTAGGATCAACTTTTTAAAATCTAGAACAAATAAAAAGCTAATGCTGAATATAGGTAAAGAGAAATGCATTTGCTCTTGCTTTAATTAAGACTGTGGATGTCATGGTCAGTGCTTGCAAGGTAATTAACAAGCAGACACATCCTGACACAGCGCGCAGTCACCGCCCACCCTGTCCGCTGGGAGGCTGCGGCACAGGCGTCCAGCACAGGCGCGAGGTCCTCCTGTGGCCTGGCTCCCAGGTCTCAGGCTGCGGCACAGGCGTCCAGCACAGGCGCGAGGTCCTCCTGTGGCCTGGCTCCCAGGTCTCAGGCTGCGGCACAGGCGTCCAGCACAGGCGCGAGGTCCTGTGGCCTGGCTCCCATGTCTCAAGCTGCGGCGCCTGGAGAAGCCTGTGGGCGCAGGGCTGGGCCCCAGCTGGGCCGAGGCTGGGAGCACCGAGCTCCGGGTCCGCCGGGAGAGTAAACGTGAAAATGTACCAACTCGTTTATGTCAGCATCTCCATGGCAGAATACGCGGAAAACAAATCCAAGGAGGGTTTTTATGCAGTTCTTTATACAGTTAAAATGAAGTTATATGTAGAGAGAAGGAAGATATTTTAAAAGGACTTAAATACAGAGCATCCTAATGGTAGCTATTGTTTTATGCTATTGAAACTATCGTGTAGGAAAGTATTATCTTTCTTTACCTTTGTCTACATTCAGCGTTATCTCTTACTTTCAGCTCCTAAATACTACAGTAGAACAACAAAATTCAGATGAAAGTCTTATTCTTCTACGTTTACCATGAATTGCAGTATTTACATTTTTATCTTGATTCATTAAAGTGTTGTTAAAATAAATAGGTGACCAACCCAGCCAGTATGGCTCAGTGGTTGAGTATTGACCTATGAACCAGGAGGTGAAGGTTCAATTCCTAGTCAAGGTATATGCCCAGATTGCGGGCTCGATCCCCAGTGGAACACGTGCAGGAGGCAGCTGATTGATGTTTCTCTCTTAAGAAATCAATAAAAACATATTAATAAGTAAATAGGTGAGCAGAAGTACCCAGGTGGGAAATAGAGGTCAATAACATTTGCATTGTAGGGAAGGGATTTGACAATAAATTCTGCTTCTCCCCACCTGGGGGCTTCCTGAAGCATTAGGTCTGGGCCACCCCTGAGATTACATGGCTATGGTTTCTTAGACACTTTGCTTGAAAAACCTTAACTTCTCTGTGTACTGTAGTAAGTGTGCTCTCTGCATCGTCTGTTCTTTGTTTCAGTATTTTCGCGTTCCCGACAGCACTACCTTCAGCATTTGCCCAGGTGGCGAGCAGCCTGCTGTGCACTGCAGCTCCCTTCCTTGCTGGGATTTAATGTCTGACCTCAGTCAGTCAGCGTTGGATGCATCTCTGCTTCAGAAACAGATCTCTCTGGCCTTCTCTCCGGCCACAGGTGCCGGCAGCTCCCAGTGCTGGAGCCTGACGGCTGTGGTTCCGCAGGACTTTCCCAGGCAGAGTGTGGCCGTGCCCGTCGGCAGTCGCAGGGAAGACGGATTCTGTACCAGGTAGTTCACACCATGTGCATGCCCTGGTTTGCTTGTCACTGCAGCGGTTGATGGAGGTGTGGAAAGAGACAGGAGAATAATGGCCACATTCACCGTGTGGAAAGCTAGGGTTCACTTTCATTGTTAACGGCTCTGAGACAGAGCATACAGCCGGACAAATGTGAAGACCACGTGTGGGTGGCCCCAGGAGACTTCCCCAGGCGGCTCCTCCTAGGGCAGATGACGGTGTCTGTACCCTCGAATAACAGCAGCACCGCATCACAAAGAAAAGACCGCCTTCTTTTATGACCTCTTAGCCCCTGTCAAATGATAGGAAATAAGGATTAAAATATGAGAGTCGAGTTGGAAAACCTTTTTCTTTTCCCATATCTTACTTTAAAATGGAATTTTTCTCAACAAGTCATTAAGGGAGATAACTTAGATAAACACAAGTTACAGAAGACTCTGTTCTGTGGCCGTTCCTGCACACAAGTTACCAATTATGCAAATAACCACCGCGGACTCAAGCCAGGGACGGGCAGTGGTTTGTTCAGACTGGACTTTTATTTTGTGGTTGTGCTGCTCGCACTATGTCCTTTCTGTAGCTGCCGGGGGGACTTAGGTGCCATACGTGAAAGTACAAAAGAAGGTCCCACAGGAGAGGGACCTTATTCCCGGGAGTGCGGACTTACAGACTTTATTTGAGGTGTTAGTCATCCGAACTCGGCGAGGCGCTATTTCTAGTGGTAACACTTTAGAAAATAACTTCCTAACTCACTTTACCCCACACGCATGCACCCCTCCTTTCACAACATCCAGCCTCATCCCTGCTTTGTGCACACTGCCTCCCTCCCTCCTCAGAGGAGTGGCCGTCCCTCCGTTCCGATGGGAGAAGTGAAGTGTGGTGAGTTTAAGGAAGTGTTTTTGAAAGTGATGTGAGCCTGTGTCTAGAAAACATGCTTAATTTCTTAAACGTAAAGACAAAATTAAAGTTTCTACTTGAAACTTTAAAATTCTAAGAATTATAAGATATAATTTTATTAAAATAATTTAATCTTATCCTTAACTATTAAGCAAGATGTTAGATTTAAAGTCCCGTAAGTCAGTGCGGGCCCCAGCTTTCGTGGCCGTCCAAAAGAAGATTCTCTGAGGTTGGCTTGCTCAGCTCTTTCAAAGTCAAGCTGGCGCAGAACCTTGGTGCGGACCCAAGGACAGCATTCTGAAAGGGAACTCACTTCCTGCTGCCCCGTCCACTCCCTCCTCTCCTCAGTCAAACAGTGCACATCTCGTGGTGGTGCTGCTGGGATTTCCCCAAATGCCAGTGGACAGTTCACTTTGGCATTTCAGACAAATACAGTCTTCAGGAAGGACTCAGACACTGGTGAACAGGATAAATGGCAAATACCTGATTTATTTGATTAATTTAAATAATTCATGTAATTTAGACTTCAGAGAGAATTTTTCCTGCTTTGATAGGAACTGTTGTTTGGTAGTTTATTAGGTCTAAATTGGAAAAATGTCGCTCTATTGTAGAAGGCAGCCTGACCCACACAGCAGTATGGTGCCGAATAATCCAGCTTTGTTGTTGGCAGTCAAAACGGAGATCCTGCAAAGGATGATGCTTGTGAAGAAAAACGGCCATTATGAGCCTACCCACCTCTAGGGGGGGAAAAACAAGTACCCGAATTCTCCCGGAGTACTGCTGAAAGCACTCCAGCCCCCCCTCTGCCCAAATCTACCAGGCACTTGGAGGAGAAAGCACCTGCCTGAAAAGTTAAGGCTCATGCGCACTGAGGGGAAGGCGGCCGGAGGCAGGTTAGCAGGAGGTTACCTGCCATTCTCTGAGTGTAGAAGTTAGGGTTATTCTTTTAACCAGGTTTTCACATTTTAAACAGTGGTTTACAATAAACTGTTTTCAGGAAAAAATCAGTAAACTATAATTAATATATGGCAGTTAATATGTAAGAAGATGCCCTTCTTTCTCTAGAAAACATTTCCTCTGATTTATAAAAGAGGAGGATTGTAGAGTCCTGAATTGCAAGCCAAAGTAAACATGGATCAGGAGAAAAAGATAAATTTATTTCTAAACCATTTCTGTCATCTGATTTGATTCTGTTCTAGGGCTATTGCACTGACATATCAAGAACACTTTGGAGTGACTTATTTAACCTTCTCAGAAGACCCTAGTCCTCGAATCATTTTCCATAACAGATGTCCAGTAACAATAGTGATTAAGGAAAATATTAAAGGTATATTTTATAGCATTGAATTTAAATGATTCAGAACTTGTATTTTTTCCGGAGGATTTTGACTTAGTAGTTGTGATTCTTTAAAGAATGTTTAAATACATATATTATTCCTCCCCTATAAAGTTTTTCTTGCCACACTCTGTTTAATATCCCTGAGTTTGTTTTAAAGGCCTAAGCTTCCATATGCCTTTTTAAAAATCTTTTTTATATTTTCTTTAAATTGAATAGGACATTTTCTTCATTGATATTTGTGAAGGCCTTCCTCTAGAGAAGTAATGGCGAACCTATGACACGCATGTCAGGCGACACGCGAACTCATTTTTTTGGTTGATTTTTCTTTGTTAAATGGCATTTAAATATATAAAATAAATATCAAAAATATGTCTTTGTTTTACTATGGTTGCAAATATCAAAAAATTTCTATATGTGACACGGCACCAGAGTTTAGTTAGGGTTTTTCAGAATGCTGACACGCTGAGCTCAAAAGGTTCGCCATCACTGCTCTAGAGAGTAACAGAGTGTAAAACATTTAATTTTAATTTGGTCAATAAAAATTTTATTTACAAATACTATCTCAGCAACATGGCTATCTAACCAAGAACTGTATGTATATTGACCAAATATGAGTGGTCATTAGTGTTATCTAAGCTTATAGCTCTGAAAACAAATATCAATAAAATTGAAATAAATTTTTAAAATGCAAATTTTTTTTTAGATATTCCAAAGTTTGAGGTTTATTGCAGAAAAGTCCCTTCTGAGTGCTCAGTCCATCATGAGCTTTATCATCAGATTTCCAGTTACCCAGACTGCAAGACCAGAGACCTCCTCCCCAGCCTCCTGTTGAGGGTGGAACTCCAGGATGAAATGACGACCGAGTGGAGCGATGCCATTGACATCAACAACCAGGGAACGCAGGTCAGTGAGCCGTGCGGTCCTGCTACTGCCCGAAGGAGAATTCCCTTTTCTGAGGTTTCGGTGGTTTTCTATTTTTAAGCATAGTTTTCTAAATGCTGAACTTCCTGTTTCTGCATTAGGGCGTGTATATATCCTCATGTTATAAATTCTCAAATATAAGTGCAGCGTATGTATTTCTAAAGCATTTTATACAGCTGTTTACCAGAGAGGGGCACTTGGAAAAGAAGCCCACCTTAGTTCTAATTCAAGGTCAAAAACGAAATGAAATTGTTGGACTTCTGTCATAGAAGGTAGTCCAACTGGCCAGATGTTAAAACAATCATAATGACAACCATAGATCAGTTCCCTCTTTTGAAGGTTTACTAATTTTATTTATTTACTTATTTAGTCTTCACCTGAGGATATGTGATTTTTAGAGAGAAACATCAATTGGTTGCCTCCCGTATGCACCTCAACCAGGGATTGAACCCACAACCCTAGGTATGTGCCCCAAGCCCACAACCTTCTTGGTGTATA